AATTAGTGCTTGTATTTCGTGTGTTCTTACTCGAATTGGAGGCACTAATTTCGTGTGCTTGTCCACGAAATGACAGTGAAATAGCACGGTTCATTTTTTTTTTAGATTTATTTTATTGATTATTATTATTTAGACTGATGTTAATAGTGTTTTATTTAACAGATGGCAGGCAAAGGGAAATCAAGTGCAATTATGCGAGCAGTTCGTGAAGAGGCTGAACATCAAGAGCGCGAGCGCATGACTATGTCTACACGACGTAGGCGAGAGGCTGAGAGAGCTGGTGAAGCCAGATCATCAGTTCCACATCCCGATGTTGGGTCTTCTCGTGCTATGGAGGAGGAGGAAGAGGAGGATGCTGTGGACCCCGTTCACGAGACTGAGGTTGTAGCTCGTGGAGGTCGTAGAGGTCGTGGACGCCGAGGACGGGGCCGTGGAGGTCGTGGTGGTCGACCTCATACTCGAGTCAATCCGGATGTGCTAGATGGTCCATTTCCCGGTGGCCCGCGGGATCCGTCTTTGATACCGAGTTTCAAGTCGCACGTAGCGGCATATATTTGGAGGGGAGAAGTAAGTTAATTAATTACTTGTTTTAATTTTAATATTATAATTTTTGTATCTTCTATTAAAATATTTTTATAGTTGATTAATTAATATGTTTTCTAAATAAATGATTGCAGGAACGTCCGGTTGGACGAGTGGAGTCCCGTATCAACTCCTTGAATCAATTCAACTACGAGAAGATAGCAGCTGCCCTAGAAGGCATAGATGTATCCGTAGACAAGCATTTTCTGCGGATGACCGGTTTGTATCCCCTAGCCCGATATTATTTACCGGGCCTAGATACTCCGCTATTGTTTGCATTCGTGGAGCGGTGGCAGCCGGAGACGAACAGCTTCCATATGCCGTGGGGAGAGATGACTATCACTCTCCACGATGTCCAGATGATTCTAGGTGCCAATGTGGAGGGACGGGTGGTCGCGCCTAGGTACGACGAAGCCATCGAACGGACAAACTGCGTGTATTTGCTGTCCGAGGCCTTAAACCTCGAGTTCGAGGAGATTGACGAGTCATGGAAGCATGGGGGCCCCACATGGAGGATGTTACAGGGACAGTTGTTGATGCCCGACACGCCCATGAGACGCCGAGTTCAGATATACCTGGTGTTTCTCCTCGGATCTATTTTATTCCCCGACAAGACATGTGATCGGGTGAAACCGTGGTATATGCACGTGCTCGAGGATTCAGTGCTTGATCAGGTCGGCACGTATTCGTGGGGTTCGGCCTGTTTGGCCAATCTATACAGAGAGTTGGGTATATGCAGCCGAGCACAGTCGAGGGGCTTGGCGGGTTGCACCACCCTTCTTCAGGTAAATTTTAATATATTTTGAACTTATTTTGTTCATTTTAATATATTTTAATAACTTTTAATATCTTTAAATAAAATATTGCAGTGCTGGATATACGAGTATTTTCCAAGATTCCAGCCGCCGGAGGAGAGCGAGCGCTACCGCGAGTTTCAGCCTCGATGCAAGAGGTGGAACGCGCCGCCAAAAGCGGGCACGCTCGAGCATATTTGAGGTTTACTCGACAATATGACAGCGGATGATGTAAGTCTTTTATATTTATGTATTTATATTTTTTTAAATATGAATTTTTCGGTTTATGTTTGTAGTTTGTTTAAATATGAATTTTTTGATTTATGTATTTATATTGTTTTCTGTTTAGGTCGAGTGGCTACCGTATGGTCGGGATATACACGAGAGTATCCCTCGTACGTTGTATCATGGCACGATCCAGTACATGTGGGTCGTAGAGCCGTATATGCCTGATCGTTGCGTCCGACAGTTCGGGTGGGTTCAGGATATACCGCGCGGCTTGATTCCGTCGATGGAGCCATGTTCACGCGGTCCCAAAGGAGGTACATCGTACAAAGTCAACTACCCATTTCCGGGTAGGATGTGGGACATGGTCCAGGCTCATTTCATTCGTGCCCGCGCATACAAGACGGCACGACAACGGGGGGAAGTCGACGAGCACTACATGGAGTGGTACACCGATCGGACTCATCCGAAGATCAACAACCCCGACGTAGGCCCGGCTCCAGTGCATCGAGAGAATGTGAGGCCACCAGATCAGCCGGCTTATTACCAGGTAGTACGTGCCCTGTACCCGATCACCAGGAGCACTGGACACGACTGGATGCAGCAGTTTGCCGATCTACGTGCTGATCTTGGAGATATTATGCAGCCCGCCGCCCGATATCTTGGCATCAACCGTGACAACGACAACGACGACGACGATGACGACGACGATCATGAGGTGCAGCCGCCGAGAAGAGCGAGGCGGTAGTTTATCGGTTTTTTTTGCCAGTTATATATTTTTATGAACTATTTAATTTTAAAGTTTATTTTTATTATTATTAGGACTATGCATTTTTATTATTGTTAGGAACTATTTAATTTAATAATTTATTTTTATTTTTAATTAGGAACTAATTATTACTAATTTTGTTTATTATTATTATAAACTATTTAATTTACTAGTTTGTTGTTTTGTATTTTAATTCACTAGTTTTATGATTTGAATTTAGAAAATACGTACAACTGAAGCAATTAAAGTACATATTTAAACAACCTTACAAATTTAATCATTCCAAAAACATAGGTTAAACATATAAAATGCAAAACACAACGTTACAAATTTAAATATTCCAAAACATAAGTTTGAATGCAAAATTAAAACAAATACAAATTTAAACATAAGTTAAACTTTCAAATACCCGGCAGATGGTTATGATTACCTTACTCACACTCAATCGCCATAATCCATCCTCCGTTGATTTTTTGCCAATTAACCTGAACGGACAAGAACGTTTCTTTAATAGTACGTGTCGTCCAGATTGATATGTTGCACACGTTAAAACATGATATTTTTCTGATTTACAATAATTAATCAGTCGATGATTATGACTAATTGTTGTGTCTTTTGCCCACATAATTAACGCTTCTCTACTATCACACACAATACCACGTTCAAAGAAGTGACTATGATCGTGAGATTGTTCTCTTAGTTCCTGCATAAATATTTAAAATTAAAATACAATATTTAAGGGATTTCGTATAAAAACATACGAAATGTAAGCTACTTCGTGTAAACACACACGGAATAAGAACTTGCATTTCGTAGTGTTTACCACGAAATGTAAACTTTAGTTTCATATGCTTGTCTACGAAACAAACAACAAACAAACGATTTTAAGACATATTTCGTATAGTGTTACACGAAATGGAAGCATATATTTCGTGTGTTATAACACGAAATGTGTAAAAACGTTGGAAACGAACAAAAAACGTGTATTTTCACCTCAAAATCGAAGCCGTTGTCATCCATGTCGATAATACTTGTGCTCTAACTGATATTGGTCGAAAAATTACTAATATTGATAAATTTTAAGAATAAAAGGTTGAGAGTGTTTGAGAGGGTATTTGGATAAGATTTGGAAAAGAAAAAAAAAAAGAATTATTTTGCACTGCGACCGGTAAAAGCCGCACTGATAATAGCAAGCCCCTTTTAATATCTGATGAAACTCACCGGTTATGTCTTGAATTTTTGTTCAATAATATAAAGCATTATATTTTAATCTACAAATTAGTGCTAGTTAAATATCAATAAATATAATATCCAGAATCAGGGATCGGAAATTTGTTCCGACTAAACATCAATAAAAGATTAATGAGAGCCATTTTATTTGTTTTGGTCAATGTGCATTAACATTTCGTAAGAGATGAATTTGAATGGTTTGTTTTCATCGGGAATCGTTGTTTGGTTTTGGTATTGATGCAATTTGGCATTAATGTTATTAATGAATATAATATTAGAATCAGTTTTTCACTTATGAAAAAATAAAATATTTCAAAAAATCTGATCCATCCGATTTCCGCTCATATTATGAAACTTAAATAGCACATCTGCAGACCTTTCTTCACATTTTCATCAATTTGAAACTTCTTTCACTCTCAATACTACACAATGGCAAATGATGCTAAGGCAACTAAGTTCACTTTGAAAGTTATGGTAAATAGGCACAAAACAAAAGTACTATTTGCAGAAGTCGACAGCGATTTTGCAGACGTATTGTTAAGCTTTCTGACGATGCCGTTGGGAAAGATTGTGAGAGTTCTGAAGAAGCATTACGGAGAAGATGTCAATATCGGAAGCTTGACCACTTTGTGCGATGGCTTATCGAACCTCGACAGTGTCCATTTCTGCACAAATGGTTGCAAGGAGATGCTGCTCAATCCGAGAAGTACATTCGAACGTGATTGTCGTAAGCTGAAACTCGATATCCATGAAACTCATTCCACCAAGTACTTTTTGTGTGACAACTTGAATTGTGGTCAATCGCGGATAAGCATGTATTATGATACCGCTACATGCATATGTGGTAAAACTCTTAAAAGAGAAATTGATGTTAAGGAATCTGAAGAGGAAGCTGGTGACGGAGTTTTTACGAAAAACACAGCTTCGTTCTTGATCTCTGACGATCTGCGGATGCTGCCTAACGTGTCGGTATCTATAATACAAGATCTTACGAATCTTGGTATTACAGATACCGATGGTGCGGAGCTAATGAATGTGACTTTTGGATTCAATGAGGTTAAACTATTAGTTTCTTTATTTATTCGGTTTTAATGAAATCTCTTTAATTTGTTTGAGTACGCTATGATTGATATGAATTTATTATTAACTTGGTTTCTTGAAAATATATTAGATTATGGATTTGTTCAAGGGGTCGTTGCTATCGCAGACTCCACTAACGGATATCATACTCAAGAAAAGAAAGAATATTGGATCCACCACAAAAGAATACGAAGCAGAAACTGAATTGCGTAATAAGATTGAGAAAGAGGGGGTCGTCTCCGAATCAGACAAGAAGATGAAATTGAAAGTGATGGTACAAAGATCTACAAATAAGTTATTGTTTGCTCAAGCAAGGGATGATTTCGTGGAATTCCTTTTCGGTTTGCTCACGGTCCCACTTGGTGGAGTACTTCATTGTGTTTTGGGCATTCATAGTAAGGGACTTGAGAGTATATATAATTTGTACACGAGCTTAGCTGAACTCATCGGGGACAGGTATTTTTTTACTCCCGATAAAAAAACGAGCCTAATGAAACCGTTGCTACTCGGCGGTTGTAAGTCCAAGAACCAAATTCTTCCTCTTACTGAAGAATCGCGTCATCATAAGTTGTATTATAATCAAGAAGGCAACCCGAACAAAGAATGTACTGTATCCTATAATCCCGGTAACAGTTATAGAGTTTTATATGCGAAAGGCCAAAAGGAATACATTAAAGGAACGACGATGTTTATGGTGAGCGACGATTTGACTGTGAAACCTTTGAGTATGATCTCAACCCTTTCTAAACTAAAGGAAATGAACATCCCTTTGTCTGAGGTGAGAGAATTGGAGGTGCAAATTGGATTACAAGAGGTAACATGATTAATTCAACTTTTACATATGTTATTCTTATTTTCCTTATATTTTCATTTGACAAGTGTTCGTTTTTTTTTTCTTTTTTTCGTGCAGGCTATAAGCATATTGAAGGCATCTCTTACATCGACTTTTGCCCTAACCGATGGTCTGATGATCGATCCCATGTCGAAGAAAAAAGTTAAGCAAGAAGTCTAAGGGTTTGTTTTTTGTGACTCAATCGCGTGAACATTATTTTAGTACTTTGGAGATTGCTACGAATCTTGTTCGTTTGAATTTTAACGGTGAAGTTCCGATTTCTTTCATGCCGACGTTGGCCTCCGTTCTCGTTTCTGATTTTCTTTTTCCTTTTATTATTTTTTTTTTTGTTTGAGTTATGTTGATGGTTTGTTTGTGATTAATATGATCAGTCACTCTCTGCTAGCATGGTGATTATTGTTGGGTTTCTAATTTTGTCACGGATTGGGCCAAGGGTTGAATTTGAATAAATGCCAAAGTGACATCGTTTTGTGATATGTTTAATTGGGCAGATTCAATGGGCCCACAATTTATTTATTTACTGGGCTCCGGGCCCAATTTAAAAGATCACTACACAAAAGTCTTACTTAGCAAAAATTCTGGATCCGCCACTGGTTGCGAGTTCCTTCATTACGATCACTAAGGTGGTGTTTGCAAATGATTTTTGAAAGTGATTATGCGGTTTTTTTCTTCTCATAATCTGTTTTTAGATGTTTGCAAAATTAACTTTTGCTTTTGCTTCTCTTAAAATAATATGCTTTAAGCTATTTTTTTAAAAGCACCCCTAACCCTGCTTTTTCAATTTTAGTTCATTTTCCAAAATATTTGCAAACACCCCCAACTTTTAGAAATAAGCACTTAAAACTAACTTAAATCACAATCACTAACTTCTGCTTTTAAATAATGATTTGCAAACACCACCTAATTACACCCTTAAAATACAATTACTTAATTTTGACTAAGAATATGTAAAATTGGGGTAATGTGCAATCCACTTCCAATTAAAATTAAATAATCACTAATTACACCCTTAAAAACATTACTTTTTTGCACATTGCCCCTTTAAAATGTTATTTTTACTACTCAATGCCCTCCAAAAATTGGCTTATGGGGCAAAGTGCAATCAATATAATATTTTGAAGGGGAATATCCATTTTTCTAACTTTTAGGGGGGAAAGTGCGAAAAATAGAAATTTATAGGGGTCAAAGTGCATTATGTCCAAAAAAAAAAAACAAATGACCTATTGGGGATTACTCAAAAAAAATAAAAAAATTGACCTATTTGGGCAAAATGTGCAATCCACTTTATGTTTTAGGGGCAGAGCCTCTTTTTTTACATTTACCGAGGGGTTTAGTGTAAATATGTTTCAGGGAGTTAAATGCAATTTGTCCAAAAACATTGTACAATCCCAAATCTGACCCTAAATCCATTTTCATTATCCCGCCCTTTTTCTTCCCCTTCCCTCCGCCCGTCTTCCATCCCCTTTCGTTCTTCTTCCGCCGTCGCCGCCGTCATTGTTCTCTACTCCGCCGCCGCCTTCTTCCCGCCGTTGTTCTCTTCTCCGCCGGCCTCACCTCTTCCTTATCCGGTACACTCTTTAACCAACGCCATCTCTCTCTCTCTCTCTCTCTCTCTCTCTCTCTCTCTCTCTCTCTCTCTCTCTCTCTCTCTCTCTCTC